ATAAAATAAAAGCACCAGTACTCCAAAATAACACGGTAATCCGCAACCATAAAAATGTCGATTACATTTTGTTTTGATTTGTATTCCTGCCAATTTCACCAATATGAGCTGTCCCTGCAACTCTTACTCCGCTCTATCGCAATGCCGCCAGTCGATTAATTTCAAGATATCACCGTTACAGATATTCCTAAGTCTGCGATCCCACGGAGTAAAATTTATATCAAGTCTGTAGTTTTAGAACACTTTATGGGAATTTATTAGATTTTCAATGTCTAAGAAAATGTGTTTTTAGTCTGTCGCCGTCCACCCCAACAAAACTCATGGCGTTTTCCGTTTTATTTTTAGTATTTTATAATGCCACTTTTACAATAAAGAAATTTTTAGTTACGGATTCGCTTCTTTATTCTACCTTTAGCATCTCGTCGCTGATGATTATAATAAAAACTAACTCGTTTACCTCAAGAGGTGTCAATGCGAGAACAAAAAAGTAATTATAATCGTCTTCGCGGCACAAGAATATGTCGAACAAAACCTCGGATTTAGGAAGAATAAACACCGAAATCAAGATTTTTAGGGCTTAAATAACACGCCACGCTGGCGTAGACAATGGAGATTTAAACAAAATGCAATCGCAAACGCCTTAGCGACAACAATTGATTGAAATTTTACGTGTCTTATGTAAACGTTTAAGCAGAAAATACATTAAAGCATAGGTTTATTGCTTGTTTAGTTTTGCTTGATAATTAGTTTGACTTTGCCAAGTATTGCAAACTGAGCGGAAAAACGAGAATGTATGATGACCAACCACTATTTGGCTTTATACATACGACAGTGAATTGCGAAGTTGTACATCGTACTTAAACGAAGCGTTTTATGCCAAAACAATCTGAGCGATGACGCTATGAGACCAACACTCAGTTGGTCGCCATCTTAATATATAACAACTTGTCCATTACAAAAGCATTTTTTCAAAGCAAAAAGGGAGGGGGGCGCGGCTCAAAAAGTTTGAACCACTGGCTTAGATACTTTTGTTTTGTCACCCTGGCAGATTTTCAGTCGTGGTTGCAAACAATACTCTCTTTTTTTTGCGATTTTGAATGCTATTCGTTGGTTTCGGATTGTGTTTGGGAAATTTAAGTATGAATCAAATACGTCAATCATCATTTGCCTCCTTAGGAGTTGTAGTTTTAATAGTAGTAATTAAAAATTAGTCTAGAAATAGCTGTGACAAAATAGGCTAAAATTCTCTACCGGTACGCAACGTTTTCTGCGAAAGATGCACTCGTGGCGCGTGCTTTCGACGAAACTGTTTACGTTTCTTGTGCTAAAATGAACGTCGAATGTGCATGTTGCGCTTACAGTAGGGCCTACTGTAATCCCTCGCGTACTGCTCCAATTTCACAAGTCACACTAACTTTTGTACTGCTCAAATCTGGATATTCATGTAGGTATGTTACAAAAAAATTAAAGTTTATCCGATTTAAATAAAAACTGCGCCAGTGGATCTGAGTAAAAATAAGAAAACAATACCAAGCTTATAAAAAACGATCAAGAAATAACGGAGATATCGGAATTTTAGTATCACCAGACAGGCCAATTTTTTCCATAAGGATTGTATTACTTTTTCATAAGAACTGCAATAAATATGAAAAAAGAACACATATCAATCACTAGTCTTTCGATCTGCGTCACATCTATGGAATATTGAGACTATTTTAGGATTTTATTCTGGCAACGGTCTTGATACCGCCGAAAGATCGTCGCAAATAAACGCTGGAGTTGTGCACGTTAGTTTGACAGTGGTTCATTGTCGGTAATAATTAACGATGTTCTGATTGTACAAATTTCATAAAAATTGGTAATTATCAAGTTAGGAAAGGAATACACACGTCCACATAAATTTTATTGATGTCCATAGACAATATCATTAATCTGTACTACGTATAAATAGAGCGTAATTTTTAAAAGCTCCGAATGTTGGGACATTTATGCGCTAATGAAAAAAATCGTTTTAATGAGCAGTATTCCGACACGGCGTAACGGTACTTAGCAGACGTGATGCGTACATTTTTTGGAGCGAAAAATTTGTAACATTCCTAATTCATGACTGCAACGTTTTGATAACAGCTAAACTCAGGAAAGTTGTCTAGATATAGAAATCTTGTATAATTGTTTTCCTAGTATGTTCTCGATCTATATTCTGCGATACCGGTATAGATAGAATTTAATATTCGAGTCTTCAGAAATATAGCATATATATTGTTGAATTAATTGAATGGATTTCCCAACTTTTGTGAATTCATTGTATTGTATTAACAAAAATATCTGTCCGGCCCGTTTCAACACAGTTTGAGTCATATCCGGCCCGCGGTCAAAAAAGTTTGGTGACCCCTGGCTTAATCAAACGATTGGATTTCACAACTCACTTGCGGATTTCCGACGAACACACGAGTCGGCACACGCGTGAATAGATAGATACCTAAGTGGTGTTTCTCGCGAGCTCGAACAACGAGAAATAATTCTATTTCTGGTAGGTGTCAATGGTGGCAACCTAAATTTTCTAAATTGAAAAGCGGCAATACAAAGTACTAAAAATGAGGCGGAGAACACCCTAAGTTTTGTTTATGATGGTCCGCGATCGATTAAAAACGCTTTTTTAGACATTGCAAATTGCAAAATTTCGCGTGCTACCGGAGTTTACGTATCAGGACATTTTCCCTTAGGATTCTTTGCTTTACTGCCTCCAAATTGGTACGTACAGTACCGAAGCGCCGTGAGTGTTGTACGAACAGCTCAGATTTGTCGATTTTACAAAAATACGAATCAAAACAAAATATAATCGGACACTTTACCACGCATTTTTGTGCCCATGGATTGTCATGATGTTTTCTGAGTAGTACAACCGCAGATTAAAATTATCACAATTAGTATTAAAGCAAGGTGATGAATATTTTTATTTGATTTACTTATATACTTTAATTACATTTTTAATAAGTACTAAATCATGATGTACTTTCTGGAAATTTATAGCAGATAGTAGAATTTTTCTAACGGCGATAACAAATTCGCAAGATCACAAAAAATATGTTTCAAAACTAAATATAATCGGGCAATATATTCTCACATTATTTTGTTCGTAGATTGCCGTGGTATTTTAAAGAAGTAATGCTGTAGCAAGTACATAAGGATAGTTACTGTGTATTTTAATATTTTCACCACTTATTGTTAGTAGTGCATGTTATTTGCCTGAAACAAGGTCGTTGTCCCAATTCATTTCCTTTATGATGTATTTCTCTCACTTAGTGTAGCTTGTCTTTGCCGTTCTTTGTTAGTTAGAAATTTGGTTTCATCACATATACTTGCTTTAAGGTTTCAAGTGTAATTCGTTATTTGGATCAACTCGATTGTGCAACTTTACAATATAACAATTGACATTCAATACATTGTGTGCTTTTTGACCTCTGAAGGAGTCAAGATCGGAGTTACACTCTGTTAACGTGTGTTCAATAACACGGGAGTGTGGACACGCAGATAGGGTCGAATCTTTGTTGCCCTATAATGCTTTCATCTTGTCATAAGGCGACGAAACCGCGAGTGACCATGAACACAATTAAATTAAAATAGAAAGACATTTTAAATTCTTGTCGTTGTCATGGATTGAAATATTGAATATTGTGAGACAGAAAAAGCTATTTATACTCTAAAAAGTCGGCTCTTTTAATAAACGCGTAATTGCGGCGAATATTTGTAAAAGTTCTGTTGTGGTTGGTTTTATTACTTCTCCACACAGAGTACGGTTGCAATAAACGCACGCTGAGTCCGCAAAGATTAGCGCCGGTTAGAAAATAGTCCGCGACCCAATAAGTACGGTTTGGTACGGTATCAGTACGGACTTCATTTAATAATAGCATTTGAGTCACTGGTGGAATTATTCACGGATCTATTAATCATTTATTGTATAAATGGTTACTTTTCAGTTATTTGAAATTAATTATATAACAACACATATTCGCTAAACAAATTAACAATCACAAAAAGGTATGAAACAAGCAATAAATATAATTTATTTCACTGAGTTTTTTTTTAACAAATAGGCACCAGTTCACGCTACAGTAAAAAGACAATGAATGCGGTGAGAAATATAAATATATAGATATGGTGACCAGTAGAAACAGTACAATAATGTATCGCTCGCAATATAACCCCCTCACATAAGTAATACATTGGGTGAGCGAACACGTACTACTTCTTTTATCAATACCTTTCCATCTGAAATATGTACGCTCTAAACTTTACTTGAGGTTTTGTTTTCTTTGCCGATTCTATAATCAGTTACTTTCATTTTTTTTTACCTATTATTTTATCGTCCATTGCTAATTATGGAGTCGAAATAAACTTATACCTCTACATTTGTAATGAGTAAGTGTTCGAATACAGCATTTTCCCGGGTTGTAACATACGGTACGGTTCAATTGCAGGTACCGTGCATGTCTTAACATCACCAGTTTCCACATTACTTATAAACAAAAATATAACTAAATAAATACGGATGTCTTAACATTACCATTGCGCTGGACTGGCCCCATTTTCTCCGTGGTCTGGCCCCTTTTGTGTGGCCTGGCTCCAAAGCCACAAAAAAGTTATCACCCCTGTTGCCAAAAAGGTTGGGAAACGCTGTTTTAGGGTCAAAGGTCGGTGAGCTGTAGGTACTCTCAAAGCAAAGTGACTATAAACTTTGCTTCAGTTCAAAGTGAATATTATAAGTCACTTTCGGTACCGTTACCGGTACCTTATGATGTGATCACATCGTGTGTGCGATGTAGGCCAAACAATGATACGGCGGTATCTATTTGTCGTCGATAATCAAGTCTTGTGGGGGATGTGTTTGAAATTATGAAACTGTTTAATTTGGGGCTTATACTACTTTACTAATTCGACACTAAAATCTCTTTACGAAATTTCCGTTTGGAATTTATTTGGCGAGAAAAAGATAATCAAGTATCTTTTTATCACATTTCAGTTGTAGTCTATGTACGGTACCGTATGTGGTATTGATTTGTTGAAAGAAAATGGACACACCATCAAGCTCCATAGCTGCCACACCATCAGGACGAACGCCAGGCAGGACCCCTGCACATGGTGAAGTTGTTCCCCATCAACCAAAAGCAATGATATATATTTGTGGAGGTGAACTAAGTTTAACACATTACAGCATTTTTGTATGTGACCATACTCATATCAGATAATTGTGTGTCTGCTTTTCGGTCAAGGCACCAGACATTGTGGTGGGATTCAATAATTAGTTTCCCTTGGATGAATGACCATTTTAATCCAATGGCAATCTCAGAATCAAGGTTACCGTACCTTTCCACAACCTTTTGCTACTAAATTATTTTTTAGAATGTCATCAAGAAAATGAAATAAGGTCTCGTGATCCAATCCGATGTAGAGAATGCGGTTGCCGAATTATGTACAAGAAAAGAACAAAAAGAAGTAAGTGATATTGAATATCAAATATGATTTAAAAAGCTCAATTTCATATTTTTCCATTATTTTGTTCAGTGGTGGTATTCGACTGCAGATGAAAAGTTTTGATGCACAACCATAATAACGTAAATCCATTGAAGATTTTTCTTGTGACAGTGAGGGGAAAAGACTTTATAAATCGTCAACTTTCAAATGATTACAGACTACATATTTGCACAGAACATTTCTGTGATCTACCAAGTTCAATCATAATATTGACATCCTGTTCTTTTGTAACTGGATTATTGTACTCCACTGCCTCACCACATGACTTTCTATTTGAAAATTTGTTCTCCAGTACATTGTTTTAAATATTTGCTCTGAAGTATGCTTAGAGTAAATTTTTTTTTTGATGGCCGGCCTGGCATTTTTTAAACCGTGCTACTACATCAATAAACATTATATTGAATAAATGGCGAATGATCTGTTTTCTAGTTTGACATGCAAGCTGTTTGAGATACATTGGCATTGTTAGACCTTTTTGAGCATAAATTAAAAATATGCTGTAATTCAATAGGACTTGTATCCAACTATGTTTTGAGAAATGTTCATACTTTGCACTGCATTATATTAAATAAGACTAATAGAATATTCATTCAGTGGTTTGTGGCCAATATGCAAATGTTACCCCAGCGCAAGACGATGATGTATGGGTCTAGTGCCTCTAGTGGGCATGGCCAGTTTTGCATGTTATTCCTAACCCCCACCGGACTACGTCATCCAAAAATCATAGCTTGCCGAAGTATAGCTAATGGCAACAATCTCTCTCATTTTGGGTTTGTTACAAGAAAATAGCTTGCTCGACTTCGGTTAATCGTCTGCGCGCTTTGGACAACCATCCTTATATTTTGTTGTGGTTTAGGAATGACGACCCCAAAAATGATTGACAAGTTCCAAATTATATTCTCAACATTTTGAATAAGTTTGCAAGATGACTTGGCATTGCTGTAAGTACCATAACCCACTGGAACTATGTGTACATTTTTGTGTCCCTTGATTTAAGCTGTGACATGCATGTGGGCCAATTTCATTGAAAACTCAATAAAAGATCTTGGATGCTAATTTGTAGTGCTACCTACTATTCATACAACGGCCAGTTGATTTTAGTGCATTTTATTCACCATTAGTATTACAGTCAAGCTGGTATGAAATATAAGGTAGCTCTTAAATTTCTAAATCATTATCTGAACTAGTAAAAATTGCCTACTTGATTATTGTAATGGAGCATTTCATAAAAAAGAATGAAAACCAGATTTGTTCTGTTATTATAATGTACAGAATAGAAAAATATGACATATTCATTTCCTAGAGTCATTCTTCATGAAAGGAATATGCTGGGAATTGTTATATTGGGGAATGCTTTATTCTTCAGAACCAATGAAGTACCAAATTACCACTGATGCAGTGTAATAGATAAAAATACCCTAGTCAGAAACATTTTTTGCTTGCATAGCATCATGAAACTACAGCAAACTTAACAGAAAATTTCTCAGTTTCTTCGGACATGTTTTGCAGATAACTGATGGGAAGAAATAATTAAACAGTATAATATTTAAGGTGTTGATACAGTAATCATTAAAAATCATAATACAGTCAGTAAAATTGATCGATAATTCAATTGCATGCACCTTGTGAAACGATTATGTGGAAAAAATCTTGAAAGTACTAGAACCTCTGTTTGTAATCCTTTGATGTTGAAAAGAATGAGGTGAAAATGGTTCAGTCAGATACAGCTATCAGTGTTGATCATTCAATTGCACCGTATGAAACGAACAAACCATTAAAGCATCAACGATTATGAGTAGCACTACATATGTTCTGGGTGGTTTTGCAAACAAGTGATGAATTCTGATGCTGGCATATTCTCAAAACAAATTCGATAGACAGAGTAGAAAAGTGGATATGCATTCGGATCCAAATCCTTCATCAAGAGAAAGGCGATCACCTCCGATGCTGTCTGTGGTCCCTGTAACTTTTGCCCATTCAGCATCTCATTTTCCAACTCTTCTATACTTTTTTTTGTTTTAACAAAAGCTTCCGATACTTTCCTATTTCTGCCTCCATAACATGTAGTAACAAGATCAGCAACTCCACATGATTCGAGGAAGGTAGATGTCTGGGGTTTGATATCAGCAAAAAAGGCCCTCGAAAATGTCATCATTTCCATCAATCCTAAACGAATAACTGCAGCTTTTGTATTGTCCCCTAAACCCAATCCATCGACAAACCCAGCTCCGCATGCCACAATATTTTTTAGAGCTCCACAAATCTCAACGGTTTCAAGGTCTTCCACAACACAAATTCTAAAATTTGGAGTTTGCAACAGGTTTTTAAATATTTGGCCATTTTTGGAACACCGACATCCCACTGTAGTTTCACAAAACATAGAATCTGCTACTTCTCTAGCGATGTTGGCACCCATTAAAACACTGATATCAATTCCAAGACTTTCGTGAATAATACTGCTAATCAGACGAAGTCCCTTTTCAGAGTGATCCACACCTTTGATTAGAGATATACCGATGGCATCTTTCTTGATTTGGCCTTTCAATTGATCGCATAGTCTCTTGATAAATTGATGTGGGACCACAAAAATAAATATATCTGCATCTTTGCCTGCTTCCATTAAATCAGGTACGGCAACCACATTTTCTGGTAGCTTGTGGCCCGGGAGGTATTTGACGTTTTCATGGTCATTATTGATTATTTCTGTCAATTTACGTCCTTCGATCATTTCTTCATAAACGTACATATTGACCGTGTCGTGGAATTCACCGCTTTCTGCTGCATTTTTTCCAATAATTTTAGATATGGCTGATCCCCAATTTCCAGATCCTACGATGCATATTTTCTTAGGTGACGTCATGATACTGCAATTAAACTAATATAATAATAACATAAATAAACAAGAAATTATATTAATCTTCAAAACACATTAAAACAAGATTTTAACATTGTGCACTGGTTTAAAATTGAAGTAGGGCCTACTTGGGATCTGGTTCACTTTAGTGCAATTTGATCACATCTTATTCCAAAAAGCAATGAAGCATTAAAACAGCAGCAATGCCCCTATTTCACTTAAAATGACATTATTCTAACCAGCCACACTTCATTGATTCCCAGTGATACTGAATTCAAACTGCACCAACGTAGAAAAACATATCCTACCACAGTAACTATTATATATATATACACACACGGATCAGTGATATATCAATTAGTTGTGTGCAAATGAGCAAAATCACTTATAAGCTTTTTACATACTATGGTCAACGAATAGATAGATCATAACTTGAAAACAGACAATTCAAAATAGTGAAGATGATAGAGCACAGTAATGCAAGTGCTCCGATGGTGATTTGAATAAAATAAAAGCTTTTGCACAGCCCAACTACCGGTACTTTCAATAAGAATATTACACGATATAGACATTTTTTCCATGGGATACTGGGTGAAGCTAAAATCGTAGGACAATGTGATTTCTGAAAAATATGGACGCATTTTCCAATCCTGTTGAAATTGTACTATGAAGGGTTTTAGCTACTGCACTCTGCCTATTATATCAAAAGTATAAAGCATGCCCATTACAGTCAGAGTCACGTTAGCTGATTCAGGGAGCAAATATTATTAGTATATCTGTGAAGCTACTGATGATGACATGTTGATTTTATGTAAAATAAGCAATAAAAATTATGACAATGAAAGAAGCATTGACTGCAACTACTGCATTAAAGTACTAATAATGAATAGTATGGCAAAAAAGTACTTGATAAAATTGCACTACAAACTAGGGTGATACTATTGTACTTGAAAAAATTGGTACTTTGATAACAGCAATATAAATGTAAAATATTAAAGGAATACAATAACAACAAAACAAAATTTGTTACACTTTTCCCATGTTTTTCTTCTGTTGGAACTACTAACATAGAAGTAATGTGACAACATTCAACTCAGCAGTAATTTAATTACATAGGTGTAACCAAACAAGAATGCCATTGTCAAACAAATGAACAGACGTACTAAAATATTAGCAGCAAAGGACTTTAAAATGCAACCCTTTTTAAGTATGAATATCTTCACTCTTTTTATTGTAGGCTCATTCAGAGTCTTGGTCACTCTCATTTGACATTGTGGGTCAGTAATTAAAAAAAATAGACTGTCAAACTAAAAAATATATAGCAAACTTACAATACCAATTCTTATTTGAAAATGAGTGAATCAAGCTAAGTTTATTTAGTCAATCTGAATGGTAATGTTATGCATCCCAATGTTACGGAATTACGAATAAGTGCATTTGCAATACAAAACTTTACATTCGACTGTGTGACCTAAAATATCAAATTCCTCAACAGATAAACTAACGGTTACCATAAAAGGATATATATATATAAATAAAAAGCTAAGATAGGCAAGAAATAAACTAAGTTTGGTGTATCCAATAATACACACTTATATCTGTTTGTAGTAAATTAATAGGTGAATACACCATTTATAAAGTCGACGGTGCAGCATAAGGTTTAAATCTTGAATTTTGATTAATACTAAAATATGTTAGGTTCCATTATTATGCATTGATATAGTAAATTACTCCCGAAAATTTCAATAATAACAGCTAGCTCCATACTATTATCGTCAATTATGTTTGAACCAAGATGAAATATCCAGAATGTATAATATTATTTGATGACGTACTTTCAATTTGCGGACAAATATGAAAATGAACATAAGGCATCTGGTTTGATTAGCTATATTATTATTGCAAGCAGGTGAACTAATTAGTGGAAAATATTGATTAATAAAGCAGTAATGCATCGATGTAAATAAAATATGTCCTAATCCCTCTTGGTTTGACGAGCCTTTCTTGAATAATTTAGCATGGTCAGTGGTTGTATATTTGTTGAATGTAGATTGAAGGTTATATGGAATCACATACATATCAAACACATATTTATCATACCCTTGAGGCAAAAAAAACACACACACAGAAGTTGCAAAAAGTACCTTCAACAAATCTAATCTAAGAAGTATTTAAATCTGAATATACTGACAATTTTAGACTAAAAACTATGGTATACAGTTAAAAATAGACATCAGGCAAAGAACAATATGGAGAAATATAAAACATTAGTTGCACAATACAATAAATACAGTAGCTATCAGTAAAATATATTAAATTAAAAATTGCTTGAAGATTACATTATAACATAATGAATTTTGAAGGTAACATCTACACATCATCAAAAATATTTTTCGGAGGTCTCTTCGCAGTTACTCGTTGCGTTGACCAATTTCTTGATGAGGCCCATCTGCTACCACTGTCTCTCTCTGAAAAGCTATCACTAGTATTTGCAGATTGTTCACCCCTAACTGAGCTGTAATCCAATGGTTCAGTATCACTCAAAAGTTCTACCTTGTCGTTTGTTCTCATTGACTGCAAATGTTTATCTTCAACTTCTCGCATGCTTCTTCCTTGCCATTGTCGTGTTGATATGTCGCTTGTAGTACCATGCATTTGTATTCGATTCAAACTCTTTATTTCTCTTTCTTGACGTCGTAACTCTCTGTTAACAAGTTGCTTTCCTTCCTCTACAAAATCTGCTGTGAATTCACCTTTGACATTGCCATCTATAAATTGTTCATAACCTATAAAAGCCAGAAGTCTGTGTCCTAAACTGAAGTATGTTACGATGCAAAGGAGAACAACCAGCATAGGAAAATATATGTTGAATCCATTTGAAATAATTGGGATCACATCGAGATGACCCATGATCTGTGTATAGGATGTTTCAATATTCGTGAAACTGGATATATGAGTGTCCAAATGTATAAGACCAAGAAAATTCAAACACATTGGTGGTGTGAGACGACATAGCATTATTCCGACAAACATTAAGCTTGGTTCATTCGTTTGGTGATGGCCCGCAATATAATAAATGTTGAAGATTTTCATGCGAAATATAGTGTAATATGCACAAATGCAAAGATAGGATATTGTTGCGAAACAAGCAAGTTCAATGTAGAAATAACTATAACTTGTTTTAGCAAGATTGATGAAGATCGCAAAAAGCGATAACACAGGTTTAGCATTGAAAAATGTGCATTCAGACCAAACTACCATAAGAGATAAAATCATTAAACAGAATGCTGATATTTTCAGGAGAATGGGTCTGATTTTGCATTCCCAATACCATTTTAGAGTAGGTGTACAGAAAAATGGTAGTTTTCGTTTATCAATAACTGGACTATCTACCCATAGACCATCACCATTTCTTATATTCTTCACAACTGTGTCTAAATGTATTGCTTTATCCATTAATATTTTCCATTGAATGACAGTACGCTTTTTCATCTGAGCAGCATCAATAACTCTAGTATGCAATCGGACAAGTGATTTTTCCGTAACATTTTCCTGGCCATGTCTCTGATCTTCGTATTCAACATAATCATCCATTCCCTGACTAATCTTATCCTGAAATTCATCAGGGCATTTAGCAATGATTGTGTTTACGTATTTTCGTAAAGGATGGTTGTATCGAATAGCTTCCGAGTTTCTTTTTACATCCTCTAGAATGTCTTCCATTGTTTCAGAAGCTTCTTGCTTTTCTGTGCTTAGTTTTGCAAGCTTGAAATGAACGTATGACATCATCAATACAGGATTTGCAGCGCGCCATACAGTTCTTGGAACTTCAACGAGGCCGTAACCAAGAAGAAGCACAAGCAAAAATAGACCCCACGTATTGGATGCAGTAATGCCAATCACTTTGAGCTGAGAAAAATTTAAAGTGATATCCCGTCTTGTTGCGACATAAATTAATAAGACAATGAAAATCAGCAAGTATGTTCCATAATAAACAGCATTTTTTATCAATGCATGTTTGATTTTTCCTGCTGTAGAAAATTGTCCTGACCATGAATATGACTGCATGAAAGGTAAGATTACCCAAGTAAGACATTGCGCAGTCCAATAAACGATCCTCCACATTATTGGCAGTGTGTATGACGGTACATAACTCCATGGCATTTCACAGTACTTATCACTAACATCTTTTACTGTATCATCATCAGTACCATTAGTAGGAGCATTTTGAGTGTAATTTGATCCTTTGATTGTTTTATTTTCAACAACCTCTACTTCATTTTCCTCGGACATGTTTTGACATTGTCGATAAAATGTTGATGATACATCCAATGGTAGAATAAAAACAATGATCAAGCTGAAATACCACGCTGTTAATGTCACGAATGTAACCAATGGATGTTGCTTTGTAATATTTCCATAATGATGCAAGAGAAATACTGCGAGACAAAATACTATAATAAGTTCCAATGCGAGTGGACCAACACTCATATTGGTGTAGACTAGATAGCAGCAACTTAAAAATTATTGCTATGCGGATATATAAAAAATAGATCAAATATTATTTAACAGAAAAAAAAAAACATTCAAAAAATATAATACTGCAAATGCATATCATAGTTATTCCATGGTGTATTTACTGATCTACTCGCACATGGAACTCACTATAATACTGAGAACTACAGTACGGCCAGATTCCAAAAATAATAGAGAATAAAACGAGACGTTTTAGATTGAAACAACTTGAAAGTGCCGCACTGGAAACTCTACGGACGTCATTATCACCGTCGCTCGCGACATGGATTGAACATCTGGCATTTACGCAACGATGTAAAGCGTGTTTTGTCTTCACGCACGCACTTTTCACTCGAGTTGCGTGACGCAGCGAGGTGATTCCCCATCCGAAGTTAAATATTTAGTGGCGCAGTGAAAAATAAGACAATTAAGACATAAAAAATGATCCGGTCGACAAGAAAATTGAATGCATGTATAGAGAATTACATCAATGTAATATATTTTAAGTTTGACGCGAATCGGACAACAAATGGCTGAGTAATTCATTAAAGTATAGTGAAATCATCTGAAGTTAGCCAGTTTTACGGTATAACAGTGAGTGCCGTGAGTGCCAACCCATCCTTAACAAGACAGTTTGGGCCTCCATATCGGCAAACCGGCACTGCACAATAAACAAAAAAAAGCGCAATCTAAAAATATCACCGATGGATTCTTTGGAAAAAAATAATAATAATATAATAATAATAAAAATTTGCTACAGAAAAATAAATTTGACCATAGCAGTTGACTTGACAGTTTTCAGTAAAAAACGCAATTTTGGTCATCTGAACGACCTGACGTCATGCCAGACACCCCTGTTTCAGAGAGGAATAGAATGTTTGTTTTATTGCAGTATTGAACCAGTTTTGGTATATCTCGGAATCGGAGAACTGTGCCTACTAAACTAAGAGGGTTCACCTAGTTTGCGATCAACTATGTTCTAAAAAAAACTGAACTTGCAATGCTAACTCCACAATTTTAACTATTGACAGTTTACTGGTTTAGAAATAAATAGGCTATGCAATCTATTTCAGGCGCGGCGGTGTGGCTCAACGGGCTAAGCGTTAGGAATACGCTCGCCACCGCACCTCTAATTACTCTGCGTGGGTTCGCAGGTTCGAATCCCATGCAGGGATGGTTATGTGCGAGAGGATTGCTGGACTCCTCGCCGTCGTTGGGTGGTTCACGTAACCGCTGGTCGGTTACGGCTTCCTCCACCACCAAGTCCATGCTTCCGAAAACAAACAATACAGTAAAAACTAATCCCATACCCGACTTGGAATGGTAACCGGACGAGAGGCCGTGGTTCGCCATATGGATAAGCCATCCTATCGGCTTTCCTCTCCCGCGGGATAAATATGTAAATCCTATCCTATTTAAAAAATATTCAAACTACCGTATACGCCAAATAAACAGCCCTCACATTTTGGACATGTGAAAAACCTATGGAAGTAGCCTACATTCTTTAGCAGCTCGTGCAGTACGGTAATGCATTTTCAGCTTTTAGTTAATTTTGTAGATTTTAAACGTTACTGCAGTAGGCTACGGTATTTCCGGTTTTGATTTGCTCTTTTAATACCCGAACCAGTTTTTACAAAATACTAGAATACCGGTACCTTATAGCATGCAATGCTGATATTGCAGTAATGTTCCGAACAAACTTTACACGGTAGCAATGTCAGAAAAGAGCACGATACCTACCGTTACTAAAAAGATAGCGTCAAAAGCGTTAATGTGTACACCTCACTCCTCAGTGGTCACAACCACAAGACGTCATATGCATGATGGCGTCTATTTTTACGTTTAATGCTGCGCCTTAGCGCCACCCTTTATAACTTTTAAGTCGTTAAGAAAATTTTGGTGCGATAATTATAGGGAATAGGGCTAGCGGGAAATAATTGTTGCATAGCTGGTATTTCAATTTTTGTTGTCCCCGAATATTCGATAAATAACTTCGTAATTGTCATACAAAGTTACATGAATAAGTAGTAGTAGAAACATGGAAAAACTGCCGACATACTTTAAGCGTAAAATAATGTGATTTTTGTTTGCTCTCATTTTTCTTTTTACTGGCATTTAGCTAAATGAGCATATATGTGTCAGTAGTATTATCAAATCACGTATTTGAAGCTTAATAAAAGTGGTGATTTCAGACTCAACTTGCTGCGTAGAAGGTCAAGTTGACAGCTCAGCGCTCTTTACTTGTCTTTGTTAGAAGAGTCTCAGAGTCAGACCCATGTTATCAGGTACTTTCTAAGCAATTCGTCCTTGACTTTCGTTTTATTGTTGAGGCGACGCACGAACTACTATGAAAATGTTTTCAGAACCGTTAAAAGCATATTTTAGGTTCCTTCGAATTTACCTTGTATCACTGGTTAAATTGATATTATTATTTATAACATTTCGTTCAGAAACTAGTGTAAAATAATTTTACCTGAATTTCAATATTATAGTCCATCTAAAATAATTTAATGCATATTGCCCAAACTGTTCGAAAAACTACTTTGTTAATTAAGTAACTATTCAGGACTACCTATTTTTTATATCATTGAAGTTTTATAACAATAACTGAAAGCTGCATAACTCAATGACACAGGTATACATTCAAAGAAAAGATTTATTATCACAGTTCATGAAATTAGTTTTCTCAATTAATGTATATGCGAACACCAAGCAGCTCGCTCCTTTATAATCCGAACAACCTTTGCCATAAGCAAAATAAATGTTCAAATATTTGTATATTTATACACTGAAAAGGTTATAGAGAGAACAAACGGCATAATTTTTCATATGTACAATTTTTCACATTGTACATTGTCAGAAGACACTGTGGTACCTATATCTTATTAATTAAATTTATTTTCTGAGCAAACTACACATATATCAACTATGCCACATAAAAATACTGTATGGTAAAAGTGCAATTTATTGACGAAGGCGATATATCTTCAAACGCATCAGAGGGTTGTTTGTTTGTGTGAATACACACGTAAATGAGAAGTCGACATTTGTATTCTTGGGGGTTCCAACTTTCCAATCAATCATAAAACAAAGTCGATAAATGCGATATACAATTAAAACGAATAGATGTCGCATGCTATAAATAGTAAACTCACGGTAATACGAAGTAGCATGCAAACACAAAGACGAATAAAAATTTTCTTATAATATAAAGTATTATTATTCTAACGACATTATATAAATATATATCAGATTAGATCACTTGATAACAGTTAACATAAAGCTATATTTCGTATAAATTGGCCTTCGCAGACAGGAACATACATGTGCAATACAACTGCTATGGTTGTGAACGTTGGTTCGCATTTAATGTATAGACTCCCATTGGCCATCCATTTTTTAGATATGTGTCGTGAATACAGACATAAATCAAATAACTCGCCGGTCTTTTGTCTTGAAATGAGCATCAAAAATTTTGCAATTGTGAAATGGTGGTTCATGGCCGAATAAACATCAATTTATTTGAGAATAATATATACGACGGAAAGTGCAAATAATTTCTATCAGAAATGGTCTATTCGAACATTGTCAAACTAAATTACAATTTACAGTACAATGAATTTTGACGTTTCAAGTGAAAAACAATCCAATCAAACCCCAAGCGCTTTAGATGTTGTGGCTAGAATATTTATTTATAAATTACTCCTAGAAATCTACTCCAAGTAAATATCATCGGACGGTTGAACAAATTCCATGTAATCTTGGAAATACTGACTGAACGTTTTCCCGAAATGATCGATGATTGGTCTTGTGGAATGTTCGCTCACAAAGGTATGACAGGCAAATCGGTATTCAGTTGGATGTCGAGTGATAAATCCAAAATACTTTTGGTTTCGTGGGTGATGACCACAGAAAGACACATTTTTCAACTGGAAAAAATGAGTCTGCTGCTTTACCTGGAAAAAAAATGCAAAATAATTATGGAAATCTTAGGAATCTAGTCATATACATTTCCCCCTAGACCACCTTATATATATATAAAATTTGTGGAGCAATTATTCAACTTGTTCACATCAACAATACAAATGGTAAAAATAACAAGCAATGGACGAATAAAACTAGGAAATGATGAACAGTGCACAATTACCTTGCAGCTTGAGCTAAACAACCGGTGTCGATTAGCATTGGTAGTCCGATTCGATTTATAATATTTCAAATCCGACTGATCAATCATTTTAACTCCTCGAGTTCCGACCATCAGGCAAACGTAAGCTGGTGGACTTGAATGTAAAGTTTCACGCCTGGCTTCAGCTACCTGCTTGTTTTTTAAAAATAGTAAATGATTTGTAAAGAATTCATATATCATGCACTATGGTTCCCGTTCGTATTGAGTAACAACACTGGTTCACAGGCCTAAGCTTACCATACGCCCCGGTTTGACAAGCTGTCCCGGCGTCCCGCCAGGTAGACTTGAATGTCCCGGCCATGCAGTATGGCAGTCATGAAATGGCTTTTTTTTTTATTCAATATTATGAATTATTATTATTTTTGTTGTTAATGGAGGCCATTATAACTGATTTTTGCACTTATCTATTATATTTATGAGTTGAATATTTCTAAGAGTCGGAATCAAACCGTGTAATTAAGAAATAAAAGTATATAACGGCAAAGAGGCAATAAAACGCATTTGACAATGCAAACTTTTTTCCATAAATATGCCACAAATTTTCGAAAAACTATTTGCTCACAAAACCATCGAAAACTCTCAGGTTATATTGTGTGTTATATTGCAAGCATGATATTTTTACACTGCATGCTTCTTTCCTATTTTAAAGCAAATATAATTTTACGTCACCTTATACATAGCTTGGCATAAAACATCGTTTCCTTTGTGACATGGTACTTCCACTGATCCAATAAAATACAAAAAGAATCTTTCCCAAACTTCATCTTCGCATACTAGAAAACGATCAATACACAACGTTATTACTTAATTACAATATTTGTTTGTTTAGTTAAACACTATTGGGAATCAAACATCAATACTTGAACAACTAAATGGCATAGTCGTTGACCATGCTTTTGCTTCCATACGGACTACGATAGTGTTTTCTTTGTGATGTTAAATTGAATCGGCGCTCCAGAAGTATGTGCATCAATATGGAGGTAACTAATGTTGTTTGCCTATTTTACATCAAGTTGTGTAATGGGACTGAAACCTATGGGCAGGGGGTATATTCACTTGCCTAACACAGACATTCCCCGAACTCGTAATAGAACTAAAATCGGAATAAAATTATGCCCTAACCCTAATCTGTCACACATACTACTGGAGTACCAAATTGCCTTCATCATTGCCTACCCAAATTTTACACCTTGGGTGCGGTGGTGGCACGGGCGGGCCATAGGGGCAGCGTCATTATAAACACAAGGTTAATTCACTAACATCCGACTTATTAATCAACATGAAGAAAATTTAGACTAAAAGTTTCCGTACCGGTTAATTCATCCAGGTAGCTTACAATGCTCTGGGCATAATAACATGGAAAGGCACCACGTTCTCCTGTTCTCATATTCAGTCCTTCGTACCAAAGATCATCGGCCTGCACTTCTACATGGATTGGATCATATATCTATTTAAAAAGGGCGTGGTCAAAGTAGTATGCAAATAAAAATTTGGTATATAGTCAATGCTCTTAAAACATTAGTTACGTTGTAGCGTATTGTGCATATGTTAAAAACCCAAAGGCACCGATATTAATTTATTGCTGACAAAGTAGCCTTCATCGATATTTGGATTTCAGAAAATGATGGGTTTTGGCGATAGAAGAGATTAAGATGTGTTATTTTGTTTTTTGGGGAATGTATGATCCCCGTAATTTTTATGAAGTCACCTTTCAATTTTCCAACGTAAGATCGAAAAGAATAATTAATCAATACATTGTTAACAGAATTAAATCATTAAATCGAAATTTTTGCGCTCTGAGAGATGTTTCGTATTTGGTCACTTTTATTTTGGCACCATATTAAACTAGGTGATTATTGAAATATTGGTGTTTCTCTGTAGTTTTTCATCATAACATTTACGTGTAGAAAAATTGAAGTTATTTATAGGTAGCTCTTAAAAATATATCTTCACTACTTCATTTCGTGAAGTCCACTAGGTGAATAGTATAGGCATATTAAAAGTTTGTTTCAAATTGTCTGAGGCTAAAAGTGTTTAATTGTTATATGTGCCTTTACTTTCATACTACACACACAGACAATTAGAAAACAGCGTAATTCGATATCTTACACCAATTAACTATTCAAATCATTTACTATTCAAAACAAGAACATTGCATAACTCACCTCCAAATTCAGCTCGTCAGAGTGCCTAGGAACAAATTTGAAGGCAGCAACGTGTGTTTGTTTCTTTATTTCTCCATTCAAATAACAATATTCCACACTTTCTGGATCATCAATCGCTAAAAACGAAGCATTTGTAAGATGTATATAAACAATACTCTTGAGTGCAAAGAATAATAGGAATATTATGTAGGAATGCTTGAAATATATAATTATTGCTAGCCAATCTAATGGCTATAATTTCAATATCAAATATCCGCATAGGCTACTTTTTAGCGTGTCGGTTTCGAAGCATATTGAATTAGATTTTACTACTCTGAATTTAATATTTTTTCACCATTTCAATTTTTATAACGAAAAATTTGACTTTTCCCCAGAAATGCAATATGTTATATACATTATGTTTTCTTTCTTAGAAAAATCAACTAACCTGAAAACAATTTCAACCGAGTGAAAAAAACTTACACCATTCTGAAGCACTTCTTGTCAAGAATTGGTCTGATCGATTTTTATCCTGTTTTTCATTTTTCGATTTTTCCCTGAGAAAAATAATAAATTTATTTTCTTCTATTTGTTAGAAAATATTTGGACGGTTTTCATTAAATATCTTATTACTCTTCTCGCTATCGTTTTTGATCAACAATTTCTGAGCGTGACCAGAATTAAAATTATTTTCAAAAGCGTACATTTAATTTTTGAAATTTGAAAAGTTCATGTTTTGAAATATCAAACATACAGAGCACGTTTATTATAAATATATCAACGTCAATCTGATATAATAAAGTAACCAACTTTATGTTATTTTCATCGCGATTCGCTTCATTTTTTGAGTCTTCTCTTGTTTTCAAAGGCACCTATATATAAATGAAATCGAAAATACATACATTATTGTATCTCTGTTTTGAGTAGTCTTTCTAATTTAAATAATATGTAATATTTTCACAAAAAATATCACAAGATAAATTCTCAATAGTCCCGTAACAGATTGGGGTACTGGCGACAAAATATATATATATATATATATAAAGACTAACGTTAAAAAGTCTAAGATCCAATTTTCGTCCGAAAGTGTCGAATTTCATATTTTCTCGTGAAAAAAAACTCCGTCGAATGAAAATATAACTTTCGAGAAACAGAAACAATATTTAAATAACTAAATTTACAAATTTTCGTCTTCATAAATTGGATTTTTCCAAATATATAGCATATATATAATACTACATAATGGTTTCATACCCGACTGTGGAGACTGTCCTGCGATGTGGATTGTACTACTGTATAAATGGAACAAATTGGTCACACATTTGAAAACATTACCTATGTATGAAGTCAACACTTAAGATCAAAAGTAAAAGAAAGATTCTGATTCATAGACTACAGATGGCCCTCGCTAGCTGAAATTTATTCTAACATCGACTCAGTTACTGAATTATTAATATAGTCCGTCTTTACCGCAAGTACATCGTGCTGATATTGTAAAGTAAAACTGAAAACAGTTGTTTTAACTCGCAGCAGATGAATAGAAAATAAAACTATCACATGTAGTGAGCTTGATTATTGTTCGTCTAAATATAGGTTGCAAATGGGATTTGTTTTCGGTGCGTACCGGGTTGATTCAGTAAACAAGCCGCAATCCTAAAAAAATATTTTTCGAAGCTATATGTACAAGGCCCGAAAGCAAAACTTGAACAATAATCATTTCTGATGTCGTTTTATTCAAAAATATTATAAAAAATTCGTCATTTATTCAGATGTAGACAAAGATTTATTTGGTAATTCCGAACCTGATCTGAGTTACAGTTTCGAACCGCCCTACTTGTAGAATAATATATTGTTTATGTGTTTAATTTTATGTGCTCGTTAATAACTAACTGTGTAAATCAGACATAAAACTTATCAACAACCAACCTCTTCCATTTGGACAATTGCTCCTGATTCCATTCCTTGCAGTAGAACTGCCATAGGTGGTTGATTCAGAAAATAGGTTCAGCGTCTGGGGCCTCGGTGGTGAAATTTGTGATTTTCTGTAAAATGTATTATTACCTTAGAATTCAATCAAAATCTTCTTATCAAAAAGGATATAAAAATTAAAACTTTTCGTGGCTCTGGAACTAACATTATACAGCAGTCGTGTATCGTACTTTTAAGATTTTCTCGCAAAGTATAATGTATACATGAAATGGAGCAGTGGCATAAAAACATTAGAAGCTACAAGAGGCACTCATTTTAAAATTCATAGCAATCATTTGCTTATTCGGCTTTGGATGCTTCCACGTTTTGACTATTTCGGGTTTTTCACATAGCGCCGCAGCGCATAATACCCGAATATTTACTCCGTAAAAGTAGAAAAACTTCTTCTTTAGTGGAAACAACATCTAATTATTTTATTTCCTTCGAACTGAAATTATGTTATTGACATGGCGTGTCAAAAAATAACTCCGCTAACGTAAAAGTAGTTTAGCGCACTAGACACGTACATTTAAAAGTATTTGATTAATATTGAGGCTAAGCACATATTTGTATTTATTCACAATATTTTCTGTTAAGCTTTCAGCTTTGAATGAACTCGGACCAGTCAGGTATCGAACATTCAACATTCATAATCACCTTCCATTTTCTAAAACCACTCCGCTGTTGTCGATCGGACTCTCTCCAGATAAGTCAAGCTGAATCATGTCTGGTGATATTTTTTTCATATGTTCTGAGATTTGACTCGGTGACATTTTTACCTTATGTTTCTGCAAATTACAGAGAAAGAGCATTTTTATATACTTAGAAATCTATTTGCAATATTTTATATTCTTTTAGGGGTTGGGTGTGTTTCAAAAGTTAAACATTTTAGTACACTTGCGATAGTGGAGGTTATATCAAATATGTCACGAATATTTTCCACTCGAGTTGTTTTTTACCTTGTATCGCCCATTTACGAAGCTGTGACGAAGAGTTTTTTCTTCTGTTATTTCGCTAAGATCTTCGTCATTGAAATCGTCAATAGATAGATCTGCAGTGAGACTAGAAAATAAAAATGAACCTAAAATGAAAGTCTAAACACTGGCGGGATCAGTCTCAAACAGGCGTCAACAATAAAATGCGATTTCACTTATCTCATGGTATCACAAAGAGACTGACAGACTTGTCGACCAGTGATATTCACTCCAACGTAATAAAGCACAAAAAAAAACTATCGATGAATTGTACTTGAACTATATATATATATATATTATCCACCAAATTTGGACGTAGAGACAGCCCTCGCCGATAGAACGCTGGGGTGTTATGATAAATTTGAAATGATAATATTGGCATTATAAAAACATTTTGTTTCTTGCTGTTCTAAACGATGAAAGTAATGTGTGTACTTTCTGGCGAATACGTTATCCCCCGACTTACCTTTGTAAATTTCCACAAGAAATTTCTATATCCGAACTCGATGAATCATCACTAGAAAGCGAGTTTGCCATTTCACGCAGTCTAGTCTCTAGTATTATCCATATTTTTTACTTAATTGAATTACTAAACTTGTTTAATTATTAAAATAAATTTAAATCACATGACTTGGTGAGAAATTATAAGGCAGAAACATCCAACGTATAATGGTAGCTGTATTTTTATTGTGGTGTAATTTGTGTTGTATGTTATGTTTCACAAGATAAGTTACACCTAATTTATATATAATACGGAACGTTACAGGCCAGATGTTTTGGCACCTATTTTGCTACCATAAACCAGATGGATGAAATATTTTTATTGCATTATGAGTTGACCAATCTTTCTATGATTAATGACGTATATAGGTCTCGTATAGCCTATATATATTTCGATATGATCAAAGCTTAGCAAAACAAACCACCCGGAAGAACAAGACTTCAATTAGATTTTTTTTTGTGGAGAAGTTAGACTAAGGGATGGCCAATGCCGAATAAGTCACTATTTCGAAAACATTCGGAAGTATTACTTTCGAATATGAAATATCGAATACATTCGAAAATAAAATCAAAACGAGTTTTTTAGTATATGAAGGAATTTGCATACAATGAACAATGCAATAACGGTTATCTATAACCTGGCTATTTACCAGGCATTTTATGTCCGCAGATTGGGGTAATTTTTCAGAGTAGTAGCCTAATGCTTTTATTTTTTCGTAAGTCGACGCAGCCATGAGTTACGTTAAATAAATTTAAATTACCGTAACACGGCAAGACATTTTAAATGCTGGTATCGGTCATGGATTTGAACATAGTCGGAACTTTTAACTATCATTATAAAAATTATTCGCCAAAATGGGAAAAAGTATAAACTATTTTTCCTAATAAATTAACTTGTTTTTCCGACTTGCGACAATTCATTGCGTATCGTAACAATGACGGCTTGACATAATTTTCAATTTTTCGACGTAATCGAAATGAATGTGTAAATTAGAAACCTTGCAATGGAATGGCGGCAATGTCCACCAAGCACTCTTGCAAAGGTGTCTCAACAATATATGGCGCACGCTCGAACAAAAGATAGACAATCAATCTCCTAAGATCATCATTCCTTATTTGTAATTTTAATTGATGGCTGTGTACTTACAGTTGGACACTACTGCTTACAAAAAATATGAAAGTATAACTTTCCTCTTTCGTGACTGAACCTGCGCAATCATGTCGTATACTGTATCAAACTTGATTCGTGGCAACTGCTGTAAAATCGTTATCATTACCTGTTTCAATTCATGGATGTGGTGCCACAGTAAAATACCGCTACTCACGAACAAATGAAAATCCAACTTTTCTCTTTCGTAACCTAACTGTACGCAATCTGTCTCACGTATAGTACTAAAAGTGCGCCACAGTTACTAAAGCTACACTAAACTTTTGAGCTATACCTATACCCCATACGGTAGGCTACTCCCCTGGCCTAACTTAAACTCCACTGCGTCTACAATGTGTAACGTATTCATACTATTGTTGTTGGTCAGGATAAATTCTTTTCTTTTGTTTGAATCTCTGACTGCAATCGGGCTAATCATATTTAGCAGCTTACAGTCGTGCATCATTCTGTCAATTCTCATCATACTTTTTATCTCGAGCTGTGAAAACAACTCATAAATTATACTTGTGCATAGCTACGTAGAAACACGCTATACAGTACATTTTATATTCAGCTGAAAACTGGATTGCAAAAGATGCCGTAAGTGTAACCACTCGATATGGGCGATTTCGTTCACGGTGACTCCCAGCATTAATCAATACAAATCAATAATGCATTACGTACGGCACTCTTGAGCGTAAATAACGATAGCCTTGACTGCGATAGTGCGGCCATGACGGAAAGGCGAACCCAAATCTTCATTTACTTGTTTTGTGATATCCGCTAATAATTGGTTCACCTCAATCGTCATATATGCTGATAATGATTTATTTCTCTAATACTAAACCGCGGGCTTTGGAATTGGAATTCGTAGACCCTCAAGAAATCCGTGACGAAGTTTTAAGGGGAAGGTGAAGGACCAGTAAAGATTTTAGAAATGAAATTATGGTAATACCCGATATGAGATGAATACAAATTAAAAAACTTTCTGAAGAATAGTTGATATTTTTGCCTGCGGCTTTGTTTTTAATCCTTATTGCCCATTTATTTGGGATCTAGCATAACGGTTCTAGCAATTCCTTACTCATTTCTTGACGTCACAAATGTAATTTTAGGATTATGCGATTATCGCGGATACGGGATGGGAAAATGTGCGAGGCAGTTCATTGGCCTGTTTTGCATATAAACGCGAATATAAATTGCAATCATAATAAACCAATTGTGCAAAAACTGCTGCAAACAGATCTCGTGCAGATCGCTTTTTGCGTTTATATATTGAAATTGTGTCGCATAATAGCAGAATATACAGAGAGTCAGGATTTTCATATTTGCTCTCTAAAAATAATTGAAAAAAAAAATAAAATAAAAAAATTAAAATTAAAAAAAAAAGAAAAATAAACGGAAAAAAAAAATTAAAAAAAAAAAAAAAATTTAATAAAAAGAAAATAAAAAGGTTGACAACGATGGTCCGCCTCGTGGCCCATCGTTGTCACGCGTTTTTATTTTTAGAAAATTTGCTTCTGCTTGGGACCAACGTTGTCAGGCATAATCCTACGCGCACAAATGTGTTCCTCGGGTTTCCAACTCACTACTGATTTTCTTGAGCAATATTCAATATGAAAATGTTCTATAAATTCTCAATGCTACAAGTTCAACAAGAAAGTAATATATTTATAATAATGATAAGAGATATAGAATTGAATACGAAAATTCGGAAAATTTGTTTTTACGTGTAGAAGGTAATTTAATTGGAGAATGCTGCTTAACTACTCAGTTGTCTGGACACTCGCGATGCCGGTACCGTACCGTCTTACCAAATACCGATAGTCGGTTATAGTCGCTTTGCGTCTGACGTCCCGGTAGCCCATGCAATCACTCATGAAAGAATGGGAGATACGGATAGTCTCGTAGAATATAGACTACTGAAACACTCTCTGCGCCTGACTCATACCGTACAGCCGTAACGTACCGATCCAGACAAAATGATAAATCGCCCGTGCTCAACCATTTATTTCAATCCATACCTCGATCCTAGTAGAATATAGTGAGTCGAGATATGGTTGAACTTGTAGCATGGAGAATTTATAGAACATTTTCGTTTTGAATTTATTGGATATTGCTCATGAAAATCAGTAGTGAGTTAGAAACCCAGGAAACACATTTGTGCGTGTAGGATTAAGCCTGACAACGTTGGTCCCAATTTTCTAAAAATAAAAACGCGTGACAACGATGGGCCACGAGGCGGACCATCGTTGTCAACCTTTTTATTTTCGTTTTATCCAATTTTTTTTTTAATTTTTTGTTTTTTTTTGTTTTTAATTTTTTTTTTTTGATTTTGATTTCTTTTCTTTTCAACTATTTTTATGTTTTTTCACAATTTTTTTATTTTCGCTTTTTCATTTTTTTTTTTAATTTTTACGCGTGACAACGATGGGCCATCATAGACCTATGCATCGTCTTGTGATTATGTTGTTGTTTGTATTCTTTTTTTTTTTTTTGGAGTTGTGAAAAACTTCCCTTTTCTCTTCACCTTCTGGGCCAATTTGAATGTTTGAAATATTACGTGGTTGAAAATTACTGTTGTCGCTAAAGGCTATAACTTTCAATTTAAAAATTTATGTCGAATCGAATCTCCAAGGGATTCGAATATTCCTTTGAAGTTCTATGTGATGACAGCATTAAAATTAAAAATTGCAAACCTGGGGCGTCCTCCACGATCGCATTTCAGCCAATCTGGGTGATCAGCGAAGTAGTGATTTTTTTCGATAAGACTTCGGCGGTACTCGTGAAAGATTTGATACTAGTTCGTTTTGGCCTCCGTGTTTATATATTTGAGCATTGCTCTTTTGCTTCAATGAAAATAGGTTTGGGCGTGTACCCTTGATGGTGATTATAAACGCCTTCCGTCTTTGTTTGGGAGTTTCTTCTGTTTTTTTTTCTTGGTAGCATTACTGATTGTGTATATTTTTAATTTATCTGTATTCGGATTTTAAAATTCGATCGTACAACCCTACAACCTCTACGGCCATTCAAGTAATGTATGTATTCTTAATGTATTGTTATGGCCGGAGAAAAAGATCGGAAAACACAGTTTCCTCTCACGTGTAGTGAGTTGGTCGGAGTCCAGATCTGACGGAGTTCCACAATTCCTCATGTTATTACAAGAAAGAAAATCAAAGTTGGCAAAATGAAAGGGAAACACACTATAACACAAAAAATTCAATCAGAGTCACAATCTCTCGAGTTTAAATTCGCTTTCAAATGTACGCCAGCTAAACGAACCCAGATAGTTTTCGTTCTATATTCCACATGTTCTTCATCTCTGCAATTGGGGGAAATGTTCCCTCTCGGATTTACTCCTCCCCGCATGGCTCCCGCTCTGATGTGCAACGGTTACTAGCTCATATTGACCACACACATTGGGATTCTAACACTTCAGGGCTCCACTACTGAAGTCAATACACTCAGATACAATACACACCACGGGTTGGGCGCCCTTGTTCTACGCCAAGGGGAGACAATTTCATTTCCCAAACTCTGCTGCAACTTGGAACACATAGTCTTTCTACCACTAGACATTTTCGTCCGCCATATCGAGCTCACTACACATATGGGTGTACGGTCGTGTTCAACAAAACAGTCCATGCCCAAAACAGCCTATGAAATATTTTTGTCAGCCATTACCACCCGACTTCTCATCACCGCAGTCGATCAGTTCAGTGCAAAACAAATAAAAACAATTACCCAAGGTATTCAACCCGAAAGTCTTAACTTTAAAGAAAATTGTTTTTGACATGATAATGGTCCATGATCTACTACTGGTCAGGGTAGACCGGTACACATTCACCACCGCCGAATGAAGACACATCAACCTCACTCCTCGCCCTTTTGGGTTTGGGTTGCCCTTTCGAGATTGTAGTCATGGTCCGCTTGAAACGCCGTTCCCGAAGTTGACGTTTCCGGCACATAATT